TTCAGAGATATCAGAAAATGTGAAAAAAAACTGTTTCCATCCAGTATGGCTTTACATTTATTACAGTTCGTACAGTTTCATTTCATAATATGAAATTACCCCTCACATCATCCCACTTCCCTCACAGCTTTGAAATCAAGTCAGGTACATCTCTTCCTTACAAAAATCATAAAAATAATGATTATATAGATTTGGACCTTCTAAATTAATTTTTTTTCATCCGAAAAAACAAGATTGCTTTTTATAACCATTTGTTCACGTGGAAACTGAAGAGGTTTTTGCTTTACGAGTGGCAATTGGAGTGGCTTTTATTGATTTTTTAATATGTTTAAAGCCTTGGCTCTTCTTACAATACGTTTTATTGCAGCTAGGCTTGCTGTAACACCCACTTTTTATTTAATTTTTGCTGCAGAATCACTTTGTGCAATCTCTTCTGTACGCTTTCGTTATGACTCCATATGTACGTCCATTTATGTTTTCTTAATATTCAGTTTTCTTGTACTCGCTTATCTAAGCGGTATTTCGTGGCAGTCAGTGATGATGCTTTCACCTATTCTTCCACTTTGATTTAACATAAAAGTGCCCTAGACTGCCTCATCGGTGTGCTCTCGCTTAGAATGCAAGCCACAATATCATTAGGGCATATTAAAATATCACTTACATTATGTGTGGAGTTCTCAGCGAAGTTAATTAGACGATTATAAACGCTTGCAAATATGAATGTAATGTACGTAGATTACAATCCTATTTGCATTTGTAAGTTAAAGTACCATGCCTTCCGATTTTGTTATAGAACAAATATATTTTTGTTTTATATGTATTTATTTTAAAATTATGCAAGTTTATTTACAGACCTGGGCGATTTCCATTAATTTTGCATTAACATTAAATTAAAAAAAAAAATTAATTTAATGTAAAAAATATTGCATTAACATTAAATTTGTAGAATTTAATGCATTAAATTTCCATTAACATTAAATATTTTTGAATTTAATGCATTAATTTTACATTAACATTAAATATTTTTGAAATTAATGCATTAATTTTGCATTAACATTAAATATATCTGAATTTAGTGCATTAATTTTACATTAACATTAAATAAGCAATAAAATTAATGCATTAATATTCCATTAACATTAATATATATAAAAATTGATAAACATAAATAAAATACAGCACAAAAGACCTCGATCTAACTAAATACAACTAAAATTAAATAGGTTAAAGTCCTTTCTAATAACTCCTATATTCCATTCAAACTTGTGTGTTTTAAATATGATATTTATATAAGATTCCACATACAAAATAAACTGAAAAAGGAATATCTGGGAAGTGATACTATTCTTCTAATATGTATTATCTAGTATAGGACTTATTAGAAAGGACTTTAACAAAATAAACTACAAAAGGAATATCTGGGAAGTCATACTATTCTTCTAATATGTATTATCGAGTATAGGACTTATTAGAAAGGACTTTAACACATTCAATTTTACTTGAATTTAGTTAGACCGAGGTCTTTAGCGCTGTATTCTTATTTTTATAAATTATTTTATACATTAATGTTAATGGAAAATTAATGCATTAATTTTATTATTTATTATTTAATGTTAATGGAAAATTAATGCATTAAATTCAAAAATATTTAATGTTAATGCAAAATTAATGCATTAATTTCACAAATATTTAATGTTAATGTAAAATTAATGCATTAAATTTAAAAATATTTAATGTTAATGCAAATTTAATGCATTAAATGTACCCATAATGTAGAAAAAATTGTTAATGCATTAACATATTTAATGCATTTATCCCAGGTCTGTTTATTTAACTATTATCATCAAATAGAGTTAATATGTATTATTATTTAATAAAAATGATTTAAAGAAAATAAATAAATTTAATCTTTTGAAATTTTCGGTCATCTTCCTTTACAGCTTCTATAAACAATCAAGAGTGTATGAAGTAATTTTTAAATCCGTTCTTGCCATTTAGATTTTTACAGTAAAATAACTTTTTTAACAAAACAGAACTTCACTTATAAATTATCAACTTTAAACTGACAAAAATAATTCTGCTTTTCTTGTATACAAAAGAAAAAAACGGTACTTTATTTTTGTTTTTTAAAGAAATAAACATTAAAGTGGCAGCTGACTCTGCTATGTTATCTATGTTATATTTAGAGCGTTGGATTACGCATACATTGCACCCTAAAGGTCCAAACACATACAATACTTTGCGACGAACTGCGACTGACAGCTCGGGTTTACTGTATGTGTTTAAATGAGAGCTGTCACAATCAAAACGTCAAACTTGTGCACGACGTACAAAAGTTGAAAAATATTCAACTTTGGCGTACGAAACATAAGAGAAAGAGAAAATAAAAACAAAAACAAAACTATCAAAAATATTGTTTGTCCTTTTTGTTCTGTTTAATTGTGATTTGTGCGTGTGAAAAACACCATTTTTAAATTAAATACTTTTATATTAAATATTGAATTTTTTATATTATTAAAATATATTTAATTATTTTTTCATACTTTATCGGCGCAACGATTGGGCATCTCTTTTTTTATGTTGCGTAGCTGTCAGTCGCAGTTCGTCGCAAAGTATTGTATGTGTTTGGACCTTAAGTACTTAGATTGCTCGCTTAGAACGTAATACTGATGTCATCGAATATTATCTAAGTACTTTGTTTCATTTACCGCTGCACAGTGAGACAGTTGGCACTTTTAGAACGACATTAATCAAATCTTAGTGATATTGAGTTCTTATTTTAGTTACAGTTAGCAAACAATTATCCAAACGCTCCACATAATAATCAGCACGATAAGACTGCTGCTACGCCCATTTTTTTACAAGTATATATTGAATACAAATTTAATTTTTGGTCGCATATATCTCAAAACTTTTGCTATCGATTTTGAATTTTTATATATTTTTAGAAAGACAATTTTATACAGATTGCTACAGATTGATAAGAAAATGCAAAATTTAAATATTTGTAGCACAGTCTCAGGTGCCACGGCCAAAATTTATGTATACCCCTAATGTGAGTTTACGCTTAATTTAAAAAAACATATTAAATTCTATAGGACACTCTAATTTTTTTGAATATCTCTGAAGATCGCAAAAGGTCGCAGCCAATTTTCATATACATATATGTTTCTATAGAAAATTTCCTATGCAAGAGTTATGATTTGATGACTGCAATTCCATTAAAAATTTTATTTTTAAATATATTTTTATTATTAATAATTTTTTTCTTATACTGAAAAATAAAACTTTTAAAATTGAGCTTTAGTCTGAAAAATTATAAGTATTAAATTGTAATACACTGAAGAAACTATATATATGAAATATTTACCAAGATATACACCAAATTAATATGGCGCTTCAGAAATATTACAAGAAAATTATTTTATTTTTAAAAGGAGCAACTTTTAGCACCAATATTTCGAGTTTTGCAATATTTTTAGCTATTTTTCTATAGTATATGGAATGTTTACTGTTAACTATAACAGCAAGCAAGACAATTGGAAAGCGTTTTTTTTTTTATTTTTGATCTAAAAGTTCCAAAAATCTCACTGTGCGCTGGGTTTTTCTGAAAATTTTAATTTATAATTTTATATTTTAAAATGTTTCCTTTGAAAACACAAATTTAATTTTTTTTTTAGAATAAAAATAAATTAATTTGTTTTGACATAACCTATACACTTTTAAATAAACAAATAAAAATCAGAGCCTTAACGACTTCACTTTACTTAGTGCATCCTGAGCTCAAGCATCAAAATGTATTTTAAATAAATTTTATAAATTCTTGTAATACCGTTATATATGATTTTAAAATTAATATACACAAAATTTTACATTTTGGGGAAAATGGGGTTAAGCGGTCAGTTCTTAGGTAGGCAATTTGTAGCAACATTTTTATCTTGAATGTATTAATATACCGATGTTAAATAAATCACTTTATGCCCTTTTTATGACACTTTTCTATATATTGTTCTTTATTCTATTTAAATAATACTTAAAATATAAAATTTTGCTCGCTTTGAAATATTCATTATTGAGCGTTGTTATATACATGACCAGAAGGAAAAGTCTACAAATTTGGGATGATAAATCTATAAAGGTGGGATAACGAGTCTGCAAGATGCGTAGATTCTGTCAAAATGGCTGTATCCGCATGCAAATAGTAAAGCCACCTTGTACCAATGGAAATAATTGACGAAATATTGAGCATAGAAGACTATCCGAGTATTTTTAGACTCATCATTCCGATTTTGTAGACTCATTATCGATTTTGTAGGTAAGAGCGTCAATTCTGTGGTAGAAGTAATTTTTCAAAGAAGTGAGCAAAAAGCCACGACCTCAATCCGATTGAAAATGTTTGCTAAACCCTGAAGTGACGCTGAACGGGTTCAGCGTGAGGGGGTGAGTATTTCAAATAGAATAAAGAGCAATTTATAGAAAAGTGTCCTAAAAGTGATTTATTTAATATCGAACTTTGTAAAAAATATTAAAAATGCTAGCCTTTCCTAAAGATTTCGTGGCGAGCAAAACTGAGTGCATGCGAGCTATTTTAGTTTTGTTGTCTTTTACTCAGAAATTTATGCTTTTTGGTTCAAATTGTAATTCATTTTGTTAAATATTATATAAAAAGAAATCACAATAATAATTTGAATTTGCTTTTATAGTTTTATTTTAATTCCAAGTAAAGAGCACAAATTACAAACATGCACTCGATTAATAATTTTTGTAACGAATAGTAGAAGGGTTAATAACCAATAATTACAAATAATAACACTATACTTGCAGATGGCGATTTAGACTTCAAGATAAGCAATTAAATGCTTTATAGAAGTGTCAGTTGTTAAATTTGTATATGCAGCTCCTATAAAAGCAGGTCAATTTTTAAGATAAAAGTGATTGTGTTCGATTTTGTCTTAAATCACTCTACCACCATTTAATAACAAAATATTTTATTTTTTAAGATTTGATGCCAAATTTCTTTGGAGTCGTATTCCGATGAATTTTAAAGCTGAAACTATTGAGTTGCAAAGATTGAACGAGTTACAAAAAAGCCTTACCTCCAATAATCTTGCGGAAGTCTTAATAAATATAAGTAAAACTGAATGGTCAGACGAAATCAAAGGTGTGATGGATGATCTAAAAGGTACGTTAAAATCAGGTTAATGAAATATATTTATGTATATATCTTAAAAATTAGATCTGTCATGTCATGTCTATTGTGTTCTCGTACATTTAAAGATGTTTCTAAACAATCGTTTATTACGTGATCGTTTTAAATTCTGATTAAAATAAAATAAAAAAATTTTGCATACGAAGAACATTTGAACTTTGGGTTCAACAGTTTACAGTGAAATCTCAAAAACTCCTCCTTAATTTACATTTACTTTATTCTGTTAAACATAAACATATTACTCATAGTAGAACAAATATACCAAAGTCCGACTCTTTGACCGCTTTACCATATGTTTTTCAAATTCACCAAAATTCGATTACTTATAGAGACACTTTATGTGTATGTATCGTCAAACAAAAAGCGTACAATCATATTCAGCATGCTCATACCAACTTCAACTCAAATCCTAAAATATATTATTAATCTTGTCGCTCGCTGCGACCTGAGACTTACTAAATATAACTTTTAGTTTGTAAGCCTTTGAGAGTATCCATTTTTTATCCCTTTTTGGGAAATAGACTGAGAGTGAAGAGAAAGTTTTGATAGATTGACATAGCAATGCTATATTTTAGTTTGTTTTATTGTTCTTGATGGATACCTTTAGTTGAGGGGTCATGTCGCAGGGTTTTTTCTCCATTCTTTTTTAAATGCCCTTCGTAAAATAATGAACGTTTAGATGGAGACTCAAAAGGCATGCGACATTTTTTGTTAGTGTTGCCATATTTATGATTCTTAAATGTTGTTTCTATTATTTTGTTTAATAATATATATGTTTATTTTTTAAATGTTTGTTAATTAAATGTTGTGTTAAATTTTGTGATATAACGACCAATTGATTATTAAAATATGAGTTTAGTTGAAAAATGTTCTTATTTTTATAGTTATTTATTTAATTATTTATATTCTTTATAAAAATAACTAAAATTTAACAAGCAAATATCTAAAATATTTGTTATTTTTGGATTAAATGTAATGTAAATAAAATTCAAAATATTGCAAGTGGCAACAATGATTCATGCATTCGAGTGATCGCACACGATCTTCACTCTTTGAGTGCAGAATAAAAATAAAGCAACTGCCAAAAATACAAACGCTTGCAAAATAGATACAAAAAAACCCCTCAAATTACGATTCGTGCGTCATTTGCTACTTCCCTTTCGTCTTTACCCCCTTTGCCTACAAACTCGTGTCGCACGTTGGTGTCCCCTCAGCTAAAAGTGGTCTATGTAAGAAAAGAATGAATTGTATTAGAGCAAGTTTAGCTGATATTATGCCATATTATGCTTCTTAAATGTTGTTTCTATTTTGTTTAACATTATATATGTTTATTTTTAAAATATTTGTTAATTAAATATTGTAATAAACATGTTTAACAAATATACTTTAATAATTTATACAAATTTGGCGAAATAACACCCAATTGATTATTAAAGTATGAGTTTAGCTGAGAAATATTGCTTGTTTTATAATTATTTATTTAATTATTTATATTTTTCATAAAAATAACTAAAATTTAACAAGCAAATATTCAAAATGTTTATTGTTTCTGATTCATGCATTAGAGTGATCGCGCACGATCTTCACTCCTTGAGTGCAGAATAAAAATAAAGCAACTGCCAAAAATACGAACGCGTAACAAAAGAAATAGCAAAAAACCCCCCAAATTACGATTCCTGCGTCTTTTGCTACTTCCCTTTCCCCTTTGACTACAAACTCGTGTCGCATTACTCGTGTCCCACGTTGGTGTCCCCTCAGCTAAAAGTGGTCTTAGTTTTAAGAAAAATTTTTGTATTGAACTGATTTTAATAGGACATTAAATTAAATTGAATTGCGACCTGAGCATTTAACAAGTGCGAATTTAACAAGTCCCAAATAAATGAACTACTAATTGTTTAAAATATGATACGAATTATCGCAGTCTTTATCCCCCTAAAAAACTAAATTTTAATTCCAAAGCCAGATATTACTGAGCCTACAAATTTCTTTTTGTTTATGTAATTTAACAACAGTTCATTTCCAAATATGTAAATAAACTGAACGAAAATACTGCAGTAGAAAATATGCGTTTAGTTCGTAAACAAATAAGAACAAAAAGGAATACAAACAATAAAAAAATCCTAACGGACAAATGATCATACAATTGGTAAATAAGACAATTTAAGTAAACATTAACGTAGCTCACAAACAATAAATATAAATCAAATAAAATAATAATAAAACAAAATGACAAAATTTAATTAATCATGAGACATTGCACAGTGGGGCAGAATGGAAATTTTTTGGAAATATATCTGGCATTTCTAAACGGCTGATCCGATCGGGATAAAATTTGGCGTGAGCGTAGCCAAGGAGTATTCGAGTTTTGAAGATGAACCCTGCAGATGCCCCAGGGACGGCGCTGTGGCGGCTCAAAGTAGGGTACCTACGACATGTAAAATTTTTAAACTCGTGCCATTTTTTTGTTTTTCACAAAGATTTTTATATTTTCTGAAAGCGCTCGACGAGATCTTGAAAAAACATGCTTGGATATACTACTTATCTCTTATAATATCCGAGTTATAGGCATTTAAAAATTTAGTGATACAAAATTTACCATACCTTGGTCCGCCTTTTTTTGAATACCGGGCGTAATTTTGGACCAAATGGACTTAATTTTTTCTTGTTAGTTAGACAACATTTCCAATAATATACAAAAAATTTCAGATCAATATCATTTACAGATCCAAAAATATACGTTTTTTAATTTAAAAATTCAAAAAATTTTAGATTTTTGCCGTTTTTTTGCCAAAAATGTGTCTTAACTCTTTTATTAATAAAATAAAATTTTCTTTAAGAACATATAACAATTTTATAGTTTTCTAAAGGGTATCTTTACGCAGAACGCTTTGGCGTAAAAATCTTGTCCTATTTTTTGAAAATGTTGCCACTGCGTTCTTCCGAATATGACCTATTTTTTATCAAAACTTCAACTTTGGGCGACATGTTCTAAAATCCCAAAGCTGGGATCAGAAAACTGAAAGCAGTTTTGGAAACCTCAATATGTTTTCTATTTACTCCAAAAGTATTTTCCCAGCCCTGAAAAAAATGTGGACCCTATGGGCAAAAAAGTAAAAAATCCCATTTTTGGGATTTTCATTCCTATTTTTGGGAATTGCGGGATGCGCTTTGACCTTTTCAATTTTTTTTGCACTTTCTTATTTGAAATGACAAATTTAACAAGCGTTGAAAATTTCATTGAGTTTTGTTCATAAATAAAGATTTTGTCATATATTACATATTTGTTTAATTTCTAAAACTATGATTTAAATCAAAATTTTAATAGGGTCGCAGATAGCTACAACAATTTAGTCCATATTTATCACTTAATATAATTTTTTAGTTAGATATGTAAATTCTCGACCCTTTACAAAAAATTTCAAGCCAATATCTCAATTACATTCCAAAATATGTTCATTTAAACCTGTGTCCTTTAATTTTATCTTTTTCATATTTTAGTATTAAGTATGACAGAACATACATTTGGTGTTGAATAAAATATTTGGACAATTTTTAAAAATTATTTAGTTAATTATTTTATTAAAGACTATAACATTGTATATACACTAAAAAAATTATAATTTTATTATGAGCCACGCACAACAACACCTAAATCACCCCACACAAACCACCTTTCCCGCCCACCGAAATATAAAACACAATTTAATACAATATCATCAGTTAGTATAATAGCTTTTTTTATTTGAAATGTTTATCTTAAACATAATACAATTAATTCTTACAACCTACTTATATAGTTAATTCCTAACACTACTTATTTTCTATAAAATAATCTGTCATATCGGTATACATATCCAGAAGGTAATATAAGTCCTTTAAATCTTCCTTGTTTTGAGATGATAGAGTTTCATAACAAATCCATCTTTTTCGCATAGTTGAAAGAACAGGATCAGAAGATAGAAGTAAACTATTAAAAATATCTTCATTCTGTGATTGCCTGGAGCATTTTCTTGAGCTGAATAGTTGAACATGCTTAAAATCTCGATTTCTCGCTTCCTGGGCTTCTTCTGTTAACTCTCCAAGTGGAAGAATATTCGATTCAATTATTATTTGACCATGACACAATACTTTGTGTACTGTTGGTGTTAGTTCCCTCCATGGATATAGAGATACAAGTAATTTAGAAATTTATATTCGCCAAATCGATTTCCATTAATTTTATGTTTACTATTCAGTGCCATTAAAATAGTGTTAACTCTTCGAAGCAACTCCTTGTCGATTCCAGTTATTTTTGAAGTAATTTCAAAATCACGAAAAACCCTTCTCGCCGTATTACCGTCATTTGTACTACCGCAACTTGGAAGTGGTTTGTCGATGTTTAATCCCATCTGAACTTTAAATTCTTCTTGGATTCTGCTTTTTTCCGCAGCTCTCAGTTCTTTCAATTCTTCATTATTTTTTGTTGATTTAGTAAGATTCTCTGGCACACTTCTATATTTGAGGTCGTATGCTATGTGTAAAAAGTAATCCAAAAATCGTATTCTGGCATGATGTGGTGAAATTCCGAAAGACAGGACTTCTTCATTAATACTTCTGCTTTTGTTTATATTTGAGAATTGCGACTTTTTCTCATTACATATTGAGCATCTCCAGAAGGAAGAAGTTTCTGTTATGGCATTGCTGACCTTTCCATCAATCATTGTTAAGCTTAGCTGATATGATACCTTAATAGAGAATTCTTTTATTTTTATGCAAATGGGCTCCAGTGCATTTATTTCATCTTTTCTTTAAGAACATATAACAATTTTATAGTTTTCTAAAAGGTATCTTTACGCAGAACGCTTTGGCGTAAAAAACTTGTCCTATTTTTTGAAAATGTTGCCACTGCGTTCTTCCGAATATGACCTATTTTTTATCAAAACTTCAACTTTGGGCGACATGTTCTAAAATCCCAAAGCTGGGATCAGAAAACT